AAAGAAAGAAAGAAAGAAAGAAAGAAAGAAAGAAAGAAAGAAAGAAAGAAAGAAAGAAAGAAAGAAAGAAAGAAAGGAAGGAAGGAAGGAAGGAAGGAAGGAAGGAAGGAAGGAAGGAAGGAAGGAAGGAAGGAAGGAAGGAAGGAAGGAAAGAAAAAAGAAAGAAAGGTCATATTCTATGAAAAACACATCTTGAAAATGCCTTAAAAAAGTTGTCATTTTTTCATGAAGGGACTGCTGATGAAAACACCTTGGTGGCTGTGGTGGCTGGCAGTGGCTGCAGCAGCAGGATAATGGGGCTGGCACTTTCCCATGATCAGCCCGGTTACCATCAGTAGGATATCCCCTGAGGGCTCCCAGTCTGTGAGAGGACACAGGCTTGGCTGAGGGACAACCCCTCCCACAGTGCACAGATTTCGTGCACCAGGCCCCTAGTGCATATACACTGAGAGGCCAGATTATTATGATCTCTGAACGCATAATAATCTGGTCACTCAGTATATATCCAATATAATAAAAGGCTAATATGCAAATTGTCCCCTCAACCAGGAGTTTGACCAGCAGGCCAGCCAGCCAACCACCCATGCCCCCCCCCCCCCCCCCCGGCCAGGCTAGCCGAACCCCATCCATGCACAAATTTATGCACCAGGCCTCTAATATACACATATATACAAACACTGAGTGGCTAGATTATTATGACCACCCATCAGTACTTTGTTGGGCCACCTTTTGCCTTCAATACTGTGGGGATTTTTCTTTCCCAAAGGCATGATTTGGGCCCATCTTGTGGGTCCAGCCGGCCCCCATCAATGGGGGCTAATCAGTCTGGGCTGGCCAGGGGGAGGAGCTTTGGGCAGTTGGCGGGGGAGGGAGGGAGATTGGGCCCCAATCAGGCCAGTTGGCTGCCGCAGTGCACATCATAGCAATCAGTCATTCTGGTCGTTCCAGTTGTTCTGCCATTCTGGTCGCTTGGCATTTATATATGTAGATTAAACTATATAAAAGCTATGTACAGAGTGAGCCTGCCTTCATGCTCACTTAAAGGCATGCCAATGAACAGAAGAGTCTATTTGAAACCATAAATGAAGCAACTGTGGTGAGATCTAGAATGACCTGATGGTACATCAAAATGGATAATGCTGAAAGATTCCCAACTCTCATCTATGTCCCACCTTCCCCAAATTCCAGAAAGCTATTAGCACACACAAGACTATCACAAAGCTAGCCCCAATTCTGAAAATGGAGCTTTGGCTTCATGTTCTTGATGATCCTATTCCTTCCCAGTGCCCTCCCAAATATCCACGACTTCCAGGTAATCAGGCCTCTGACGGAAGAGAGGAAGTTGGTGGGGCAGGATCGCTTCTGTGCTCTACCCCATCACTGTCCTTGTACCCAGCAGGTAGTCATTTGCCTCAGGGAGCATTTTTAAGCCTGACTACTTTTTCAGAATTCTGAGCACTTTAATGGGATTGTGCACAGGAAGGAGGGCACAGTGCCATGGAAAACAGAAATGCAGAAGGGAAATTTCTATCAATAGGGACAGGGCCTAGGGGAAATAGCTTCTGGGTGCACATGGGGAGGCTGGACCCCAGGTATTTGGTCTCTCAGTCTAAGTAAAAATACCTCATCTCTTGTGCCCATGGGTCCAGGAGCATCAGAGCTGCCCCCCTTTGAGGGACTATGTGGAATTGGACAGCAAGGGTAGCAGAGACTATCAGTAAATGATGAAAGTCTCCAAAGTCTCCCCCTCCCATTCTTTCTTTTTTTAATATTCTCACCCTAGGAGTGAGGATATTTTTTCCATTGATTTTTACAGAGTGTGGAAAAAGGGGGAGGGGTGAGAGAGAACGGGGGGGGGGTAGAGAAACATTGATGTAAAAGAGACACATCGATTGGTTGCCTCCCACACACACCTGGACCGGGCTTGAACCTGTGACCAGGAACCAAACCGGCAGTCCTCTGGTGCACAGGCTCTAACCACTTAGCTATGCCAGCCACAGTTCCCCATTCCATTCTTTTTTAAAATATATATTTTTATTGATTTCAGAGAGGAAGGGAGGAGAGAGATAGAAACAGCAATGATGAGAGAATCAGTGATCAGCTGTCTCCTGCACGCCCCCTACTAGGGATTGAGCCCATAACCCAGGCATGTGCCCTGACAGGGAATTGAACTGTGACCTCCTGGTTCATGGGTCGACATTCAACCACTGAGCCACACCAGCCGGGTCCACTTCCCATTCTTGAGTAACTCTCAGGAAGAAGAAGATCCTTCAGTAGTGAATGAGACTGACCTTTCCACCTCAGTGGGATGGAGGGAAGATGCAGATTTAAGGTGCAGCCTTTGAGCAAACCTGCTCTGAGATGCACACTACCCAGAAGACACAGCAGGAAAGTGCACACACTTTGTTTCTAGTTAGAATCAGAGAAACCTGGACAAAGGGTGAGCTTGGTGAACTGGGCAGATCTCAGGGGGGAAACTCTAGGACATCTTTTGTTCAAACAGGAGGCTGATCTAACTCCTCCCTGCCCCCACCCCCCGCTCCACCTTGGCTGCCTTGCAGCAGCTGCCTCAGGAGTGGAGAGCCTGTCCAGAATGCACCAAGTGGAAGAAGCATTCTCAAGAGTGCCTATCCCACCCAGTGCAGGCTATTTTTAACCCAGTTAGTCTTCCCAAGAGAAGTGCAATGTCTGTTCTAAGAATTCCATTTGCTCTTCATCTACTGTTTTTTAAAAATATTTTTAATTGTTTTCAGAGAGTAAGGGAGGGGGAGAGAGAGAAACATCAATGATGAAAGAAAATTATTGATTGGCTGCCCCACACTGGGAGGTTGAGCCCGCAACCCGGGCATGTGCCTTGACCAGGAATTAAGCCGTGACCTCCTGGTTCATACATAGGTCAATATGCTCAATTATTGAGCCACATCAGCTGGGCTCTTCATCCACTCTTAACTGAAAGAGGACTTACGATGAAAGTAGCAGAGGCTCAGGACTTGAGTGTATAGCTAACACTCCTGAAGCACTGCCCTTCTTTAAGACAGTCACCCAGTGGCCTTTCATGCAACCAGAACAGCTGTCCCTCTCAAGGGAGGAAATCAGCAGAATACTAGAAAAGTCCTGCTTACATTCTTGTGAGGCCATTTTTCTGATCTTTGCCACTGCCCATTCGTCTCCATTGGGATTAACATGATGAGCATTTCTATTTGATGTTACTCTCAGAACTGCAAAAATATCTTTTTTTTTTTTAAATATATTTTATTGAATTTGTACAGAGAGGAAGGGAGAGAGATAGAAAGCTAGAAACATCGATGAGAGAGAGTCATCGATCAGCTGCCTCTTGCACACCCCCTACTGGGGATGTGCCCGCAACCAAGGTACATGCCCTTGACCAGAATCGAACCCGGGTCCCTTCAGTCCCCAAGCCGACGCTCTATCCATTGAGCCAAACCGGTCTCGGCAGAACTGCAAAAATATCTTAATGTTATTGCAGTTGGGTTTACCTAAAGGTCACACTACATAAAAGGCAAAGAACTCACCTCTGATCTATTTTGCTATCTGTGGAATTTAACACTGCAGTCTTATCAATTAATTCCTTGTCCCAACAGAGAAATTAAATTCTAACAAAATTACTTTGTCCCCTCCCCTTATATCCCTGATGAATGCCAAACCATCTCTTCTGTTTTCTAACCAAACTCACCAAATAAGTTATAATGTGTGCACCAGGTATTTTTTCCTGTTAATCCTCACCTAAGGAAATTTCTTCAGTTGATTTTTAAAGAGAGTAGAAGGGAGAGAGAGGGAGTAAGAGGGAAACATCGATGTGATGAGAGGCACATCTATCGATTGATTGCCTCCCGACTGAGGCCAGGGATAGTGGGAGCAGGGATGGAGTCCACAACCCAGGTTCATGACCTTGCCCGAAAATGGAATCTGTAACCCTTTGGTGCATGAGCCAATGCTCTAACCACTGAGAAAACTGGTCAGGACTTGTACACCAGATGTTTAACGTATAAGTCTAGATCCAAACACATGCTAGAGAATAACTTTTTTAATGAATTTCATCAAATTTGCTATTTGTGGATTTTAACACTGCAATCTTATCAATTAATTCCTTGTCCCAACAGAGAAATTAAATTTTAACAAAATTATTTTGTCGCCATTTTCCCTCCTGATGAATGTCAAAACATTTCTTCTTCCCTGACTGCTCACTCTTCTTAGCTGGTGTGATATCTTTAGGCTCTTGGAAGATCTTCTAATGGGACAGGTTCAACTTCTTAAGCAACAAGTAAATTCTGTGAGAGTCAGAAACACAAAATCAGGCCTTCACCTTTAAGATTAAAAACAAAACAAAACAAAACATAAACACTGCAGTAGTTTACAAAGGAACAATAGCATTTTCAAGGAAAAGCAGTGCTTCTAAAATTCAATATAGTGTATAACTCTAAAAAACACATGGCTCTTCCCAGACAAAGACATGGCATTTTCAGGGAAAGAAAATTAAAGACAGCAGAAAGGAGTGAAGAGAAAAAGGCTTCATGACTTCAGCATCTCCAGGGTGTCGACCAATCAGCATCAGCCATCCAGAATATACCACCTGCGGACTTAAATGCAATTAGGAGAAATCCCCTATTTAAAGAGTGTGATACTAAAAAACATTCTCTCTTTGCTCAAGTTTATTTTTTTTAAATATTACTACCAGTAAACAATGTCACCCCAATAAATTTAATTTAAAAGAAAAAGAAAAAAATGACATAACTACATATGTGTTTGTATGTGTACCCACCATGATAAAAAGTTGTTAGTTTGAGTAATGGAATAATTGCTTATTTTATTTTTTCTATAATAATTTTGGTTTCAGATTTTCTGTAAAGTAAATGAGTTTTGTGGTGTGTGGTTTTTTTTTTTATCAGAAGGATGTTCTAGAAAATTGATTTTTCTTTGGAATGTTTACATTCTTACTTACCTTCCTGAAATGAGTTTGTCCTGGATCCAGGTCTACTCTCTCAAATAAAGAATTTTCTGCAAATATAGCAGAACTTGCGCCATGGAAAATTTATCGCTCTACACCATGTGCAGTTCCAATTCGGTCCACTGTAGTTTGAGGCAGACATCTTACGGCGCTGTGATTGTGAGGCTCTTATCCCTTTTGGTTGCTTGGCCTTCTGCCCCTGAAACTTCTGTTTCTTTTTATTTCCTCTCATGTCAAGGCTTTTACTGCCCCCCAGGGAAGTCTCCTGGGGTGTCTGAGATTTTCCTTCCTGGCCCTGGTTTCCCCTGCCTCCAAGGGGGGCAGTCCCCTGGAGCCTCTCTGGATCTCCTTCCAGGCAGTGACTTCTGTTCCCCCCTAGATGAACCACCCCCTGGGGTCTTTCTGAACTTTCTTCTTGGCCATGCCTCCCACTAGCTTCCAGGGGGACCATATGCTGGCATCTCTCTGGGCCTTCCTCCTGGCTGTTGTTTCTCATGTCACTCATGGTAACCATGCCCTGGGACCTCTCTAGATGTTGTTCCTGGCTGTGGCTCCAGCAATCCCAAAGGGGGACCATCCCCTGGGGCCCCACTACACTGTCTTCATGGCTGTGATTCCTATTGTCACTCAGGTTCACTAAGCCCTGTGGCCTCTCTGGATCTTGTTCCTGACTAAAGTTTCTGATGTCCCCTAAGGGGACTGTAACCTGGAGGAAGTCAGGACCTTCCTCCTGGCTGGGGATCCTATGGTCCCACAGTGGGGCCCTCTCCTCCTGGGCCCACACTGCAGCCCACGGGTTAGGGGTGTAGATCCCCAAAGGAGGCATAGGTGGCATTACTGCCCCTCCTGCTTCCATGAACACTGCTGCTGGTGGTAGAGGAGGCAAGAATGGGGACACCGGTGGGAATAGTGGGTGAAATTGAAATGGGAATGGCACTAACACTGGCAGAGGTGGTGGCATGTTCTGGGCCCAGGGACTGCCAGGCATCCCCATGGCCTCCATAGTTCTCTGCTCTTCATTCAGGGGCCATGATGAGGCCCCGAACTGCCTGGGTTGAGGCCCAGGCATCATTTCTTGGCTCGGTAGGGCAACCTGGACCCACCCTGCAACCTGTTGCAGCTGCGCGTGAAGCACATCACGCTCATTCAGCGCCTGCTCCAGGGCAGTCCGTGTTAAGTGTAGCTGCAAGGTCTTGTTCTCGTGTTCCACATGAAGCCTCTGTAGCTCTGGGGCCAGACCGCAGGCGGTTCCCTCGAGCTCCTCCACCCGGTTCTGCAGCTGCTGGACCTGGCACAACAGCTGTTCACGCTGCCTCGCGGCCACGCGCACGCCCAAGGCGAGCGCGCTCCAGGCGCAGGCCCTCTGGCGCATGCGCGGCACCTGCGGGTCGGTCAGGACGGCCTGGAGCCGGTCCTCGATCTCGTTCCAGGACTGCGAGCGGAGCGTCGTGTAGAAATCGGGGCCGCCCCCGTTTAGGAGGACTTCGTTGTTGATGAAACTGACCACCTCGTTGTGGCGGAACCCAACGTCGGCATCTTCGAAATTCCCCGCCATGGCCGCCGAGGCCTAGTCAACCGCCCGCCTCACAGGGAACGAGGCCGCCCGCCCGCCGACCCATAAAAGCGGCGGCTGCCAATCCAGACGCCCCTCGCCTCCCGGTTCAGTCTCAGTCCAGCCCTAGCCAAGTCCCAGCCTCTTCCTCCGCCTCTCTCCTACCTCACTCCCTCCTTTTCCTCACTAGCACCAAAGCTGACTATCGCACCACACCAACTCCATCGTGTAGTGACCACATGCTGCGTCACAATTGTCAACCCGCAAAGCCTTCTGGGACCGACCTTTGGCCCATCCCCTGAGAATTATGGGAAAAGGAACTGTTCCATGCAAACGCTAAGCAACTGACAGCCGGAGTAGCTCTCCAAATATCAGAGATTTTCAGGCAAAATGTTGAGATAAATAGGATATTATATAATGTTAAAAATGTCAATCCATCAAGATACACCAATTATAAGTGCATATACAGTTTATGCACCTAAAAAACAGAGTTCAAAATGTATGCCAAAAATAGAATTGACAGTAGATGCAGTTTTATAGAGATAGTTGGAGACTTCAATATTCCATTTTCCAAAATTGATAAAAGATCAATAAGGAAATACAAGACTTGAAAAACACTATAAACTAAATAGACATAAGAGACATCTACAGAACAGTCAATCCCAAAAATGCACACTACATGTTCTTTTCAAGTGCACATTGAAGCTGTTACAGGATAGACCATATGTTAGGCCACCAAATAAGCCTTAATAAGGTTATGAAGACTGAAATCATACTATGTCCTCTGACTAAAATGGACTGAAATTAGAAATCAAGTTAGGAAAAAATGAAAAATATACAAAAGTGTGAAAATTAAACAACACTGCTAAATAACCAGAGGGTCAAAGAAAACAATCACAAGGGAAATTAGAAAATAAGTAGAGATTAATGAAAACAAAATACAACATACCCAAACTAATGGAATTCTGTGAAAGCAATGCTCAGAGGGAAATTTATAGCTGCAAATGCCTAATTTAAAAAAAGAAACATATAATATTAAGTTAATAATATAACTACCCACCTTAAGGAATTACAAGCAAGCAAAAGGGGGAAAAATGACAGAATTTAGAATGGAGATAAGCAAAACAGAGAAGAGAAAAATAGAGAAAGTAAATTCAAAAGTAGGTTCTTTGAAAAGATTCATGAAATTGACAAGTTTTTAAGAAGATTGTTCAAGACCAAAATAAAGATTCAAATTACTAAAATCTGGATTGAAGAGAGGACATTTACTACTGACCTTAAATACATAAAAAGGATTATAAGAAAATACTATGTATGATTACATGGCAATAAATTAGGTACTAGATGAAACACAAATTCCTAAAAAACATATAAACTACAAAAATGGACTCAATGCAATCCCCCTTAAAACTTGAGTCCTTTTTTTTTTCCAGAATTGTAAAAGCTGATCTTAAAATTAACATGGAATTGCAAAGGACCCTAGTAGCCAAAACACTATTTAAAGAATAAAGTTGGAGGTTCACACTTTCTACAAGTCAAGAGTGTCAAAACAGAATGATACTGGCATAAAGATAGACATGCAGATCAATGGGATAAAATTGAGAGTTCAGAAATAAACCCATACATCTATGGTGAACTGATTTTTAACAAGGGTGCTAAGACCATTTAATGGGGGAGAAAAAACAATCTCTTAAAAAATAGTTCTGAGATAACTGGATACCTACATGTAAAAGAATGAAGGTAGACTATTATCTCACCCCATATATAAAAATTAACACTTTTTTGTTGTTGTTAGTTGCTGTTTGTTTGGGATTGTTGTTTTAGTTACTTTTTCTAAATTATTTTTGTAAACTTTTTATTTAGCATATGTGGCCACAGAAGTCTGTGTTCTATAGGTTTAATGGTCAATAGATTAGAAATCTATCAATAACCACCTGAGGTCTCAAAAAATTTTTTTTAATTTTTTAAAACTCTCCCACTCTGAAGGTTGCCTCTGTATTGGGACACTCGTTTCAGTGCTTAGCCAGGCCATTTGCAACACTGCCTTCACCTTTATTTTCTGCTTGTGCATAGCCTGAAGGCCAGCCAGAGGTAAAAGTTTAGGATATTCTCTGAAGATTGAGCCTTTTCTGAGCATGTGTATTGTCTTGGGCATACGCATGGCCTTCTTGATTCCATGATTTACACAGGAGCTTTTAAAAGCCCACATTCCCCGACATATCTCCTTTCTTTTTTTTCTTTTTCTTTTTTTAAATATATTTTATTGATTTTGTACAGAGAGGAAGGGAAAGAGATAGAGAGTTAGAAACATCAATGAGAGAGAGTCATCGATCAGTTGCCTCTTGCACACCCCCTACTGGGGATATGCCCGCAACCAAGGTACGTGCCCTTGACCGGAATCAAACCCGGGACCTTTCAGTCCCCAAGTCGAAGCTCTATCCATTGAGCTAAACCGGTTTTGGCCATATCTCCTTTCTAAAGCTGTTTCTTCCCAGGCCTTCTGATTTGTCTTGCTTGTCTTGTCTGCTGTAAAGCCAATACTTGTGCCTTTAAGTGTTTTTATCAAATGCTACCTGGGAAGCTGCCCCAAACCAGAGAATGCTCTGAGTTTGGAGAAACAAAGGCAAGCCCTTGTGCACCAGTCCTTAGGGGAACCACCAGACAGATCAAAATACACAACCACAATTCTTTGAGAACAAGGTTTGTATTGCCCCCTCAGGCCCTTGGCACCAGGAGAACAGGCTTGGTATGTGGGGAAGGATAGACTATTTAAAACACCAGAGAACTCTCTTGCTGCAATGCAGCAGCTTCTTCATTAAGCTTTTTCCGGTTGTTGTGCGTTTTTCAACTAGATTCCAGAGTTCTGCAAAGTTGATTCTGACGGTTTTTGCCGGCTCATTAGTTGCTTTAATGGAGGGATAAACCTGTGGGGTGCCCTACTCTGCCATTTTTGGTATAAAGAAAGCTATCGTGGCCAAAACCCATTAATATTCCAGATAAGATTAATTTCATCTCCATGTCATCCCTCACACATCCTTCCAGCTCAGCCATCCCTTCTTCCAGGCAGACTTTCCTGACCACTCCACACCCAATACTGTAATTAATTTTTTATACTTCTTTCTCACCAACTAGACTTAGTCTCTTGAGGACAGAGACTAATTGTATCCTTTCATTTCAGGTCCCTAGCACCCGACATGGTTCCAGTTACATGATAGTGCGTATAAATGCCAAAGGGAGTACAAAGGAATAATGAAAGATATAGAAAAAGGGAGAAATAGAGACGATTCCATGATTTCTATAGTACTTGTTAAAATTCAGACTGAAACCTGTTAGAGGGGTATCTTTGTCATGGTTTCAACACAGGACATTAAGCTTTTAAAAGACACATACATTCCTAAAGAAAAAAGTTCACCATATCCAAACTGATACATGTATCTTTTGGGGAAGTTCTTTTATACAATGTTAAACTTTATAACAACTTCAAACTATTTCTAAACTAGTCCAAGAACACTTCATAAATTCCACGGTGTTTTAAAAGTATTATTATTAAATGTACAATGCTTCTGACCTTTAAGACCTTTATGGAATCAATTTCCACTGTACTGAAACAGGAAGGTGATATATAATGGCTGGTAAAGTGATATTTTAAAACTAACCTGACTGGGTTATCATTCTTGATGAAACAATGATAATATCACAAGTACCACCACACTTTACTTTGCAGGTGCGCAAGTTTTCAAAGTGTGAATGTATGTTTACAAGAGAATAGAACAATTCAATCGCATAAATTAATCAATCTGAGAAACCACATTAGAAACAGAGCTAATTTTTACATGATTTTCAGTAAGTCCGTATACTTTCAATTTTAGTATAACCTCTGTCACAAAGCTTTCATAACAGCTTTGAATGATAATCATTGATGATAAAGGAAGGAAAATAACATTTTAAAGTTCATCATATTAGTATGTATCTACGTTTGTGCAGATTTAATCTCCCAGGTATCAAAGGTGGTAAATAGAATAGAGAAAAGGCATATACAGTAAATATAAGCTGTATGTGCTGAGTACTGAGGAACAGTTTTATACTGCTTTAGAAAAATTACACCTTTTATTACATATGCTTTCTTTTCTTGTACTTTGCAACAACAGTGACCTCTGCAATGTAGCTGCCCAGCAGATGCCAAAATAAAAGAGAGGAGGCATCTGGGCAGTTAATCTCAGAAATGCTAATCAAGTTCCCTGATTTTTTTTCCCCATGTGAGCAGAGTACATGGGTAGAAAATCGTTGTAGATAATCAACACAAGTTTAAAATAATGTCACATTGTAAATAAACATAGCTTACAATTTCATCTGGCCCATATTGACAATTTGTATGGTTACCATTGTGCATATGGTCAAATTAACTATGAAGAGGAAGCAGATCTCATACATTTTGTTTATACAGACAAACTGGATTTCCTCTATTCATGTTAATTCTCAAGTATCTGTAAGTAAATCACTCGAACATTATCACTGAAGTCATTCACAATTTTTAGTCTTCCTACCTCCACTCCTGCCACAAAAACATACTCAGACACACAATCTCTCACATAGGCTCACATCAGGGAAACAGCCGAAACCGGTTTGGCTCAGTAAATAGAGCATCGGTCTGTGGACTGAAGGGTCCCAGGCTCGATTCTGGCCAAGGGCATGTACCTTGGTTGCGGGCACATCCCTAGTAGGGGGTGTGCAAGAGGCAGCTGGTCGATGTTTCTCTCTCATCGATGGTTCTAGCTCTCTATCCCTCTCCCTTCCTTTCTGTAAAAAATCAAAAAATATATTTAAAAAAATAAAATAACTCAAGGAAACAGGAACTCTAGAACATTGAGCTCCAGCCGACTAACTGGATGGCAGAACATGCTTGGATCTTCAAGCCTGGAGGAAAGGGCAAGGATAGATGAGCCAAGCGTCATGATGTGAGACCGAGGAATAGATTCTCAGTCCCCAAGATTGGAGAGTCTTAA